GACGCCGATGGAAGTGGTTCAGCGCAATGCCAGTATTGAACGTAACTCATTACAACTGGTGACGTTGCTGTAGGTGGTTCAGCGTAATGCCAGTATTGAACGTAATTCATTACAACTGGTGACGCCGATGGAGGTGGTTCAGCGCAATGTCAGCATTGTACGTAACTCATTACAACTGGTGGCACCGATGGAGGTGGTTCAGCGCAATGCCAGTATTGTAAGTAATTCATTACAACTGGTGGCACCGATGGAGGTGGTTCAGCGCAATGCCAGTATTGAACATAACTCATTACAACGGGTGACACCGATGGAGGTGGTTCAGCGCAATGCCAGTATTGAACATAACTCATTACAACTGGTGGCACCAATGGAGGTGGCTCAGCGCAATGCCAGTAATGTACGTAACTCATTACAACTGGTGGCACCGATGACGGTGGTTCAGCGCAATGTCAGTATTGTACGTAACTCATTACAACTGGTGGCACCGATGGAGGTGGCTCAGCGCAATGTTATGTTTTCAAGGCTTTCTGGAGATGTTCCAAATACGTCAAATCAAGTCGACGTATTCGATTAATCAATGCCAACATTTCTCACAAATAATTTAGGTCCTTTAAAACCATAATACACTAATTCCCTACGATAGCTAGCACCGAGAAACGCACTGTGACACAGTCATCTTTACACGATGATAGTACGAGTATTCTGTCCAGTGCTTACGCATACGGTACAGCTAAACGAAACCGGTAGGTCGAACAGTGCAGTTGTACTTCAATGTCACAAATTATTGGCAAATGTCATGTAGCTTCCTTTAATGGGCAGAGTATAATAGCACACGGATTGAACGTAATTAATGCAAAGTTAGTGTGATAATTAAACTGTCATAACCTACAATAAAAAACATTCATAGAAGGTGTATGAGTAATGTCGCCGTACCATATTAAGCTTTCATTGATAAACACGTACAGAAAGGACACAGTGAAGGCCATGTGTAGACACGACAGCTTGCATTGATATGGCCAATTAAGGTCGTTCCGCGTGGCGGTTAGGTATATCTAATAGAGGATTTGTACATGGGAGTAGCCGAGAATGTCAACCTCTCCTGAATCCAAATAAACATACGATTAAACGTAACTACATAAAACAAATACAAGGTGGAAGAAAACATGAGTATTGATTTTGCACCCGTGTGAGTTTATAGTATCATAATTGTTTCTGTGTTCATAAAGAATATAATTTTTGACTATGAGTGCTGTCGTGCTATGTTGTCAGTATTGTCGTTCACCATAGAAATACAGCAGTCATTCGTTTCCAGTTGTCCTTCTATATACTACAGGGTGATTTGCGGAAATATATAAATCAAGGGTTTCCATGAAAACGCATACCCCCATTTATCTTACAAATTTACGATCCATTTGAAACCATTAGCATGTGTTGACGTGAGAAGGGAAAATAAAAGAAAGTAACCGAAATACATCCTTTTAATGTTCGAGACGTGAGAACTTTAAATTGCAAGAAATTGTCTTTTCGTGTGTGCTTGTAGAGAGATACTACTTCCCATCATTAAACGGAGAAATCCTCCGCCAGTGTAGTTTTAAAGTCTGTGTGTGTGTGTGTGTGTGTGTGTGTGTGTGTGTGTGTGTGTGTGTGTGTGTGTGTGTGTGTGTGTGTGTGTGTGTGTGTGT